GAACGTGTGATGCCGTCTGGAGATGGAAGAATAAATCTGCAAAATCCATCCAAGTACATGTGAAAATGACCGAAAAATTGAAATGAACATCATATGTAGGTGTGTGAAACTGAACACGGCACAAAAGTGCGCAATAGTTTAGGTGAATGAGTAGGATAGAACACGACGAAACATGCGAGACGACGGTAGAGCATGATAACCGTGTTCGAAGGAGACGTTACACGTTTCTTGAGGCCCTCGAATTTCCTGAATGCTTGGAGGCGTCGTTATTGTCAACAGTATTGGATGTCTTCGCAGATTGGTTTGCCGCGTGCACGGATCGTTGGGACGGTATATTGATAGAGTGGAAGAGAGAGATCGAAACGTGTGATGAGTAGAAGGGAGAAACCAAGCCTTTTCTAGACGACGATCCGCAAATGAATAAAACGAGAAAATGAATACGTTCACCGAGATCTTCGACAAACAGACCTGTCTGCAAATTGTGAAACGGGCAGAGTGAAAATGCTCACCTCGTCCAGGCGGTATTTTGTTCAATTCAAGATCCCCTTGTACATTGCAGCATATTCAGAGTCGTCTCTTTGATTAGTCTTGGATGTCTTATCTTCTTTTGGGTAAAATTGTAGTAGAGAGGGTATCCTAGAACGAAATCAATCATAGAACTTGTGACGGGAGACGATGGTTGTTGAATGTTGAATTGCTTCGCAGTTTCTGACTCCGTTTTTCACTGTCTTCGCATTGTGGGGATGTGAAAAGAAAAGAGGAGAATGATGGATGCACCTACTGTCATCTCATTGCTAGGTTGGACGTCGTTCTTTACACCTGTGGGTAAAATTTCAGGACGCCACAGCCGGGGTCACACAGGAGGAAGGCCACATATAGGATCGGTTCTTGTTTCTCCGGCTCCCTTCTCTGCGATGCTTGACTATGTAGAAAAAATTCGCAAGAAGGATTCACTCTTTCATGTTGTTGTCGACTGTGCAAAAGTGGAATTACCAGGTGTGTATTATTGTAGTGTGAAATGTGCAGAGGAGGAAATGACTACCTTGTTCATGCGGGCGTTCATTCGCACATTACAGTAGACTCTCCGGAGTTGCCCTCGTTGAAAGCAGTTGATAAATATCCTGAGTTGAGTTCGGGAGTGGATCTTTGCTTGGTTTCCTTCTCCAGCGAAATTCCGTCTGAGGGGTGGTGTGTGCGGTTCATCTATCGGTAGCTTTGATATGCAGTGTTGTTGGTGCAACAAATGTTGCTGCTGTACCCGCGACACCTTAGCTGATATAGAGGAAAATATCAAAGGTGATCGCGCACCGGTAACAATCTGCCCCCTTTCAGGAGTAGTGCGAGAGCACGTTTGTTCGAAGACGAAGAATCGTTTTCTCCCCTTGTTGGTAGACAAACCTGTGTAGAACAAATAACAATGGTTGCTTACCGTGGCAGACACCAGGCGAAGTGTGTCGATAGTACGGTCGACCGGGAGCGAAACGACTCTCTTGTTGTCGTCCTTGTAACCGCGGTGGCAAATATAGGTGTGAGGAGCAAGCTCCCCATCACCCAACGCCTGGTCCACCATACAAACCTGTAGGTGACAAGCGTAGCGCCAGTAGTACCTACGCGTGTCACCTACAGGTTTGTATGGTGGACCGGTCGTTGGGTGATGAGGGTCTGGCCCCTCACTCCCATGTGACCCACCGTGGATACGAGGAGGAGACGAAGGAAGTCGTACCGCTGCCGGACGACCTGCCGTGGATTCACTTCGCCTGGTATCTGAGCCGGTAAGCAACCATTGTTGTTTGCTCTACACCGTTTTGTCCACCAACACTCTTCTTGGCGTTTCTCACAAGCCAAGCTGTCTGATGCAGTTTTTCGCGAAGTTCGCGTTTTTTCTGTTCGCCGTTCAGCCTACTTAGTGTTGTACGAAGTCTATTTGCAGTAGCAGGCTCATGGGGGGGACCCCGTGTTTCCGGGATTACCCCCCACAAGCTGGTATGTGAGATTCGTGGGCGATGACGGTCTCCTACTTGGTGACCCGATCATACAGCGCTCCTCGCCTTATTACCGTGCGATGAGACACTATCTGGGATGGACTTACATCTGTTTTTTATTGTATACGCTCACACCGCCAGGATGTGTTGGTGAGGGTTGGTTTGGTCGGCGGAATGAGGAAATACAGCAGGTCGTTCTGCTTTGGCTTGGCGTCTTATGGGTGTGGCGATGGGCGTTGACATGATTGTGGCCGTTGGACCTAACGCACGTTGGTCCGTGTCTTGCAGCACGAGTCAGGAGGCGTTAATTTTCGCACATGGCGTACCTCCCTGGGGTTCGCCTACCGGTTTCAGTAGTACAGAAGGGGAGGTCTCGGGAAAAGGAATAAATATAGAGAGCTTTGAGCATGGAAATAAAGGACACAACCCCATAATCGGTAGTGTTCTCGCATACGTTCACCGTTCGTATGCTCGTCCAAACAAATAACTGATTACGATCTCGACCAGCTGGTGGATGATGGCAAACGAACCATTGTTACTCATTAGAAAGCGCTTGTGTGCTGCTAAACCATTGCTGCTACTGTAGGACAGGTTTTTCGCGGGGCTAGTATTTTGGTTTTCTGACCCTGTGGTTCCCGTGTGTTTGCACTTGGGTGTCTTTCGGCTTGTCTGAGTGTTTACATCAATCAATATTTCCAGATCTGTGGCAGATATGCGTACTTTGCGTCTGGCTACCCCAGGAGCGAAGCAGGAAATATGTCGTTTCAATGTATTGTTGAGGACTCAGGAATCGAGGGCCAGATCTCGGAAGGTCATCGGAAATGTTTGGTCTCCACCGTCAGGAATAAGTAACCCACCTCGGCGTCCTCGTGCATCTGGTTTGGTGTCCGCTCATCGATGGACTTCCACTCCTCGACCTCGATCTGCAAGCCGGCTTGAAGATCGAGGTCAAGTAGTGGATCCCCATCGATGAGCGGACACCTGGCCGTATCATCCCTGCTCATCCCTGCTCCCACCCTGTGGTGCGCTCCCCCGCCATCGATGTGACGGTGTCCAAGAGCAACTTCAGAACCCATTTCTGGCTCTGGGTCAAGCGTGAAAAGGAATTGTCCCTTTACATTGCAGCGCCTGAAAAGTACCTCTTCTGCTACATATCACGCATCACATGCGAGGCTGTTGTTATACATTGCACATCGAGCCCCTCCCCCTTCGGAAAGGGCACGGACATTGTTTTCTCCATTCCGGCCCCAAGTGCTAGAGTCAATCCCATTTTTTCGCATTGATTAACGCCGCCCTAGCCCGACATTTTCGCAGAGGTTTAGTCGGAAACTGTTCTTGGTGTATCTTGACGTGCCAGAGCGGTACTCGATCATACCCCGTGTGGTCGTATACCGCCGGGGCGACCCGATTCGTTTTGCAAAAGTTCTTCCCGCCGATTGTTCCGTCGAAATTCATCGTTCCCCGGCGAGGGGAGACAGGAAAGGCAATGCGATGTGTCTTTTTTCGTGTACGCCCGTTGGCGGTGAGAAGAGCTAATTTGATGGAGTACCATCACACTACCGCAGAAACAGACTTTCTCACCGGGAGCAATACGACATGATGACTGGACTTCTTGCTTTTTCATCTCGTTCGCGTTTTTTTGTTATTGTTTTTTGAAGCTTTGCCTGGGTTCGTTAGTGCCTTTCAGCTCCTGTTCGGGTAGATCGATGGCAGACCACCCTTCGAGAATGCAGCTAGAAAGTCAGAAAAATGCAATAGTCTTCTATTTCCTTCTTCCTGTGCCAAACTAAATGCATCTACAACACGCATTGAATCATGATCACAGTGGTGCGTGCACAAGACGCAATAGATACACCTTGGTAGAACGGCAGAGCATTGTGTACTTGAACAGAGGGAACATTCCTAGGCGGTACTGCTCCGTTCAGCACGTGAACGTGTACTCAATGGGGCCACGTGCCTAGTCTTCGTTGACGTAGGACGTGGGTTGCACGGCATGCCTTGAGGGTTACGGGTTTAGAGTGATCATCGCTTGTCAAGTAGCCTTGTGCTTCTGACTTCTCCCACCCCTGTGATGTGACCGAAACCACTCCTCGGCCATGAAACCGCACCACTGACGTCATTGCAACCGACGCCTGAACAGGGCCTCTTGCGCACCATTCACGCGCTATCTATCGAACAGTATTCGTGCCCCTTATAGTGCCTGTGAGCCGACCGACCGAGCACATGTCGCACTACAGCACACCTACGGCTGCGCTGGGCACACGGAAAACCCGCACGCCTGACTTATATCCGCTCTCGGGCATGCGGTACATGGGCACCCTTGACAAGCGCTTTTTTGCCTCAAGACGAGGATGCCCCCCCCCCCCCCCGGGACCAAATGGCCTCAACTGGGGTTTCTAAACCCCCCCCCCCCCCCCCCCTGGTGGCCCCCCCCTTTTTTGGCCTAAGGTCCCGGCTTTCTGCCCCCCCCTGTGTGGGCCAAGGAAAGGGAACAGCCCCGCCCGGCGGGACAAACCACCAAAAATGCCACCAAAAAAGAATTTCTGTTCGAAACCCCCGCGGCCCCCCCCCTTTTTCCCCGGGTGGTTGTGGAAAATATGGCCGAAAACCCCTCCCCCCCCCCCCAAATCCCCAAAAAGGGGGGGGGGCTTGGAAGGACCCAAAA